TCCATTTAAAATCGCTCATATTAAAAGAAAGTAAAGTGCAACTCAGGCAGGCCTCCTACTAGGTGGACTGACGATCTGGTAAAGGTTGCGGGAAGAGCCTGGATGCGGGCAGCGCAGGACCGTGCATTGTGGAAAACCATGGAGGAGGCCTTTGTCCAGCAGTGGACGTCATTTGGCTGAAACGAATGAACGAACGAAAGTGCAACTGTTCATAGTTACTCGTAAATGCCGCCGTCTGTACACTCGTCAGGTTCGTCGAGCCATTGTCTGTCACAGTAATTTGTATTGCCACAGCAATGGATGAATTTACCTACTTATTAAGATGATTATGAGATATGTACCTCCTGAAAGAGCGTGTTTCCCCTAATACAAGTTTAATTACTTAAGGAGAATGTGCCACTGTAATGCTGTAACTTGTAATAATCAAAGAAATTTTGTATTTGTATTGTATTTGAGTATAGAGAGCGTTTCTATGAAAGTGTAACGTTCTTACAAAAAGTACAATACAGGTGAATTAATATTGTACATACCACGTTTGGTTTGTGAAAGGATGACCTGACACAAGAACATTTCAGAGCTCATTGTTCTGTTACAAGTAACTGCTCTAGTTTAAATACTTACCTTTGGAGCGATGGTTTGGAACTACCTACGTCCGATCCGAATCTGTAGTCGTAGAGAACTGTGTGTTATAGTTTACACGATCCGATATTCCATCATCCATTTTTTCTAGTATTCGTGCGAAACCACTTTTTTAACCGATATTTTTGGAGTCGGTGCCGGTAAATTTAGTACGTTTCCTGAGCTTGGCATTTCGCAGACTGGCATCGACTCCGAAAATATCAATCATGGTCATATAATTTGTCCTAATTAAATAACGTTATTATTTTTCTACTTTTTAGTGTACTTTTTTGGAGTCAGTTTAATTATAAAGTCGGTTTTTAAAGTATTTCAAACTTTGAAATTGTATGCTACTAGTGGTACTAGAGTCACACACAGTGAAACTAGAAGCTCGGCGCGCCATGTCAACGTCACTCTGCACCCGTTCTTTTGAACCGCGCGTCTTTCACGCCGCCCGTAGAGCGTAGAGGCTTTCATTATGCCCGCTCGTGTGCTTAGTTTCTGACTTTTGAACAACTGGAACAACTAGGAACAAAATTATAAACGCTATAATAATATCTTAAAGTTCACACAGCCTTATCTTATAAAATATATGTACCATAATAATTATTAAGAAACGTATTTAAATGTTTCGTACTTGTACTTGCTTTCATCTTCAAAGATCGAAAGTATTATTTTACTAGCTTTCCGCCCGCGGCTTCGCCCGCGTGGAATTTTGTCTGTCACAGAAAAACTTTATCGCGCGCGTCCCTGTTTCAAAAACCGGGATAAAAACTATCCTATGTTCTTTCCCGGGACTCAAACTATCTCTATGCCAAATTTCATCAAAATCGGTTGCGAGGTTTAAGCGGGAAAGCGTAACAGACAGACAGACAGACAGACAGACAGACAGACAGACAGACAGACAGAGTTACTTTCGCATTTATAATATTATTATATATATTATATAATTATATATTATATAATTATATATAGTTGGGATTTAAAAATTGAGGTCAACCATGTCAAATTAGCGTTGATGATTTAATTAATTGAGCGTGTACACTTATTTACACTGCTAGCTAGAACTTTTATTCAAAAGAAATTGTATCCTATGTAACGAATATATGTATTTAACAACCACTTTTCATAACGAGTTTATTTACTTATTTCATTATATGTCTTTTCTCTACATTTAAAGTAGTATACGGTTATTAAAACATTTCTATGTATGTTCATTCAAGTCTTTCTAAGCGGACTGAACGAATGAATGGTTTTTTCCCGCTTCGTCTTTCTTTCCCACGGTTTTCCCGTCAACTGAAAACTCGTTGAATTGCGAGTTGAATAGTAAACCGACTTGCAAAGACTCAGGGCTGCTAACAAGTGTTTTACATTGAACGAAAACAAAAGTATAGGTATTGATTTCTAAATTAATTAGGTACCTAAGTTGAGTGAGACGTACATGACTTGCACCCACTAACTAATAAGACGCTACGTATTGTATGATGGTGCTGAGTGAGACAACCGTCTCTAATTGACCAGAGGCAAATGGGGGACTTGGGTTGGGTTGATTTTAGCGCTCTTGCACACGACGCCGCCACCGCGCCGCCGCCGCGCCGTCGCCGCGCCGCTACACTGTTCATACGCGCCGCGTGAAGCCCGCTGCCGCGCCTCACTGGCGAAATTATGCTTTGATGGCGCGGTGGCGGCGTCGTGTGCAGGAGCCCTTTGGTTTATATTTTACTAAATTGGTAATACTTTTATATTGATGGTGGTGGGAAAATTTTCCCTTGAGGTTTGGCATCCCTGATCCCAGTTACGGCTGATGAAAGGGTGTCGGCGGCTAATTCCAGCGTTTATGAGCATCTTTTGTGCTGGAGCGAGGAACAGATGAATGGCGACGCTCGGTGACATTCGTGGCTCATATTAATGGGCTAAGAACAAAACCAAGCGATGAGAGATGTGAAATTTGGAACATTTTGTGCTCTTTAAGTTGCTGTAGCCTTTAAGGTGGCTTTAAATGTAGGCATACACTAGGCGACATGCGACAGCGACAGTTCGGCGACTAGACGCAGCGACAATCTGCTTTCATATATTTTGGACGCCGCGACTCTGACGCCAAAGTGTGCGAAGCTTTGAACAAAATATTATGAATCTGACGCCAAAGTGTGTGAAGCTTTGAACAAAATAATTAAATATATTTTCTTTCTTTCTTTCTTTCTTTCAAATTGTCGGCCGCAGCCTATCGTCGCATCTAACGCCCGTATTCACAAATGATGCTTGCTTAAGTGACGCAGCAAATCGAACGCACAGCATTGAATAGAGTTATGTGATTTGTTCATGTGTCATTCATTGCGTCCACGCGCACTGTGAGACCTCAAATTCAAATTCAAATTCAATAATTTATTTTCTAGAATACATAATTACATGCTCGTTTTACAAAGCAGGCAGAGTAATGTTTGTGAATGTGGGCGTAAATTGCCGACCTGTCGCTGTCGCGTGTCGCCTAGTGTGCGCCTACATTAAGAACAAAAGTGATGAGAGATGTGAAATTTGGAATATTTTGTGCTCTTTAAGTTGCCATGCCACCTTATAGCCTTTAAGGTGGCTTTTAAGGGTACTTAAAGGTTGCCGCCGGGATTACGGGACGCTATTAATTAGGTAGACAGGTGACATTAACACAGAGTAGAATAAGTAGTAGGTATTTGTCTACGCACGGACATTGCGCTCGTGCCTTGGACGAAGAATCGAAGCCTCGTGCAAAATACAAAATACCTACTATTGTGAGAGCTCAATACAAATAATTGTAAGTAAGTGAGCTATTAAGACATGATAGCACCGCGTCATCATAATGATCGGCCGGAGAGGTACTCGCGCGCAGTAAAATGTTTAACTTTATGCTCTGAATGATTGAGTCTGATGTTGAATCAGCGGTGCACAGTAAAACCAAAACTGGTTTTTGTGACACCGTCAATAGTTATCATTAATATTTGAAGATCAAACGAACTTAACAAGTGAAGTTCGATCAATATTATGTGAGCAGCTTCATTCGACGCGATTTACGTTTAACATGGTGTAGTAGCGCCATCTACCATAGGCCTTTGCACAGATTAGTTTAAAGTTTTTTTTTTTTTTTTTATATTGCAACACTGGTAAGCATGGTGGGACGCTCCGATTTTCACGGTCGTCATTTTGTTTAAAGTTAAAATATTATTATTTATTTTATTCCAGAAGGGCTGGGGGCCCAGTATGAAGTACTCCATATAGGGTGGGTGTTGGTAAATCGCGTCGAATGAAGCTGCTCACATAATATTGATCGAACTTCACTTGTTAAGTTCGTTTGATCTTCAATTATGTTTCGCAGCTTCATTCTTTGCGATTTACGTTTAACATGGTGTAGGATGTTTAACGCAATGTTATAAAATAAATAATTGACAATGTAAAAGATGATGATTTGAGTATAAATAAAACATGATTTTTTCAAAACATCAGTCTTACTTTATTAATTTAATAATAGTAAACATGAACTAAAATATTTCTTATTAGAGTACATTATACAAACGATTAGTACATTAATTAATCCTCATTTTGGCAGGAATCAAGTAACGATTCGGCGAACTCATTATTATTTATAACATTCTTGTTATAGAATCGAGCAAAAGCAGATGATGAGTTGGACCATCCAGCAGTCTTTTTAATCAACTCTATACTAACACCTAACTTATTTGCCTTTGACGTACTTGCATGTCGTGTACTATGACCAGTAAATATTGATGTATCAACACCACTTTCATGTAAAGTATCTTTTAACCAATGGCTGATAGTTTGAGAGCTAACTTTTGAATGTGGCTTTTTAAGGCTGATAAATAGATTATTAGTGTTTCCGCGTAATATTTTAGTTTTTTCTATATATGATTGTAAACATCGGGCTGGACATATTTCTGGCCGAGAATTATAGAATGGAAGTCTTAGAACTGGTTGTGTCGAGTTTAATTTTGTTGTCTTTATAACATCGGGAATTTTGATAATAACTTCGTTAGAATTTGTAAAAATATTGCTAATTTTAATTAAAGATAAGGTCTGTACACGATGTGCAGTTACTAAGGCAAGTAAGGCAACTGTTTTCTTGGAAAGTGTTTTCAAATCAAGACTATCATTGGGCCATTGTTGGGCCAAGAAACTTAATACAATGTTTGGATCCCATGTTAAGTTGTACTTAGGATTTGTTGGCCTTAATTTAAAAACACCTTTCATGAAACGTTTTAACCTTTCATCATCGAGATTATTACCTAGTAATAGAGATAAAGCGGATTTATAAGAGTTAATTGTCCCATACTTGGCACCATTATCAAATATTTCTGTCAGAAAGTGAATGATTATTGGTATGGATCCACATGTATAATCATAATTATGTTTGGAACAATAACTTATCCAGGCTTTTATGCAACCATCATATTGTTTGTAAGTATTATTTGACAAGGATGACAGCATTATTTCTACAGATCGTGGTGACAAAAATTTATTTAGTAAAGTTTTCCGGATAATCTCGCGGCAACCAATGTTAAGCTGCGGTGAAGGCTGTGGCTCGATCTGTAAGGAGATTTTAATAGTTTACTATCAGGTGTAAAATAGACAACTTCCGATTGGCATATTCTATTGAATAGAGGATACCAGGGTTGTGTTGGCCAGTATGGGACAACAACGATACCTTCTGCATTATCAGATATGATTTTTTGAATCATTTTTAAGACCATAGAGAATGGTGGAAAGGCGTAAAAATTTAAATCTGTCCATGAAATCGTAAACGCATCAACGGCCCATGCATCAGGCTCATTTTTCCAGGTAACGTATAAATCACATTTAGAATTGCAACGACTGGCAAATAAATCAACATCTGGTGTACCCAATTTTTGTTTTATTTTTTCGTATGCATGGTTACACAATTCCCACTCCGTATCTTTAAACTTTTTTCTAGATAGCTTATCAGCCTCAGTATTCTGTTTTGTATTGATGTATGATGCAAAAACTATAATGCGACGCCTTTCACACCATTCCCAAAGATCTCGTGTCTCATTATTGAGATGTGGGTATTGAACACTACCCATTCTGTTTATACATGAGATCGCTGTAACATTATCTATTCTCAATAACAATTCACAATCATGACAATCATTAGCAAATACTTTAAGTCCGAATAGAGCTGCTTTCAGTTCTAACTGATTTATATGTAAATTCGTTTCATATTCCTTCCAATGACCGTATGACTCATCTCCATTACAAAATGCACCCCAACCCGTGGATGAGGCGTCGGTGTATATTTCTTTTAAATAATTATTTGTTTTTATGGAAGCGTAACCAAGATCTATGTTGTTAAGCCACCAGTAAAGATCTTCTCTAATAAAATTTGGTAATAAAATGATTTGATTGTAACTATCATTTTTTAACAATGTTCTAAACTTGAGTTGTTCAAATAGTTTAGTATGCATCCACGAGTATTGTATTGCAGGGCAAGCCGATACCAAAAGACCAATTACTCTGGCAAAATCTCGTAATTTACATTTGCGAGTTTCTAAACAATTTTGAACATAGCATTTAATTTTTTCTTTTTTATCTAAGGGTAATTCTAATATCATTTTTCGAGAATCGAAAATAAAACCCAGAAATTTACAACGATAGTTCGGAAGTAGGCAACTCTTTTCGTTATTTATAATAAATCCTAATTTCTGAAGTAATATACAAGTTTTCTGTACATTAATATTGCAATCATTAAAGTCCCTTCCAATGCAAAATATATCGTCCAAGTACACTACTGAGATCATATTTTGGGAACGTAGATATTCCATTACAGGTTTCAATAATTTGGTGAATACGTATGGAGCTGTGCTTAAACCAAACGGTAAACAGTTAAATTCATATAGTGTTCCGTTATAATTAAAACGTAAATATTTCCTGTGATTTTTAGCTATGTTTATAAAAAAGTATGCGTCTTTTAGGTCTACTGACGCCATATAGCATTCTTTAGTTATTAATTTAATTGCTGTTCGATAATCCTCCATTTTGAAATGGCTAGTCAGTACGAATTTATTTAATTGTTTTAAATTTAAGATAAAACGTTTTTCGCCGTTTGGTTTAGGCACTAGAAACACGTTCGATATGAATTCACCTTCCTGATGACAACACTCTGATATTGCATTGATATTAATTAATTTTTTAATTGCCTTAACAAACTCGGAATGTTCTTGTTTTGATTTTGGTACAGTACATGGACTTTCAGAACGAGTAGGAGTAGAAATGAATGGTATTTCATATCCCTTAATCCATGACAATAGAGTTGCATCATCAGTTATTTGAGACCATTGCAAGTTGTAATATTGTAAACGGCCAGCGTATTGATTTACCTGTGTATTTATCGACGGTAATTCCTCGTGTTCGGCGAAGGTGCTTTCGGCGGAGGCGGCGGGGGGCGCGAGTAGGTCGGCGCGCGTGTCTGCCGTCCTGGAGGTCGTCCTCGCGATGACTCGCTGGTTCTGTTCGGTGGTCTTCTTTGAGTTGGACCCCTGAAGTTTAAATTCCTCTTAGGGTTACTTTTAGAGTTCATTGTCTTGCTTGAAGATGCAACTGGATTGGTCTTAAGAAGGGATTCACCCGTCTTTTGAACGGTTTTGGCAACCTTTAACTTTTCTGCCAAATCCTCGCCAAATAAGTATTTATCGCGATTTGCATTAGAGAGCGTGTCGCGTAGACTTGTGTTGATGGAACTCATAAGTATGCTGCGCCGAGTTTTTGTTTCCACATTATGGCTGTCGCATAAAATGCGGCAAGCGTCACTTAGAGGTTGAAGGAGCGCTTGTTTTGAAGTCTCGTTTCTTAAAATCATCTCTGAGACTTGAGAAAGCGCGGCTAAAGCAACCCCAATCTGATTTTGCTTTTGCATTATAGTTGTGTCTCTTTTAGCCAGAACCTCTGGGACGGCAGCCTTAGCTTCGGGGTTCAATAAGGGTGCCACTAAAAAGTGACAGTTAGCCGGTATGAGGTATTTCTTCGAGATCGACTCTTTCACTTCCTTTGGCAAACCTTTGAGCAATATATCCTGCCAACGGGAAGCGATGTCTTTATGAATGCTTTTCCCCAATGCTAAATCTGGCTGTGGAGCTTCGCCCAAAATTTGTAAGATGTCATCATCCAGTTCAGTCTCCTCCTCTTGGTTTGAGACGTTAGTGGAACCGATATCTGGAGCGGTAGAGGGTCCTGGTACTGCCAAAGGAAGGTCCACCTTCACAGTGGATTCTTTGGGTTCGAGATCACGCGATGGCGTTCTTGGTATAGGAGAGATCAAACTAGGCATGTCTAAACCTGCTTCTCCGTGATTGATTGGGGATGCTCTCGGTGTGGCTGCCGGCGAGCTTGATGGTGTCAGCGAGGGCAAAACTTGCAACTCGATATCTGAATCTGCGTAACAAACAAACTGCATGTTACATTTGAACATTACGGTTGAAATTCAACCGATAAAACCAACATTACCGCCAACGACAGTCGTTGATTTTTATNCATTCGTAGTTATTAACGACAATAATTTTATATAATATTTTTTTACTGAATTTATCATCCGCCAACGGCGGGGTAGTTATTGTTAGAATTATTATCAACGATAATAATTTTTGAGAATTTATGAGAAATTAACACTTCTTTTTAAAATATTTTTGTCAACGACAGTCACGATTAAAATTTGGTATAATTTGCACCTACCGTCATCATCCGACGAGATAACACGTCTCCGTCGCTGTAATTTCCTTTCCAACTTCTTTATTTTCTTGGTAATTCTTTCTTCTTCTTCTCGTTTTCTTTTCCCCATTATATGGCTTGTAGTGCTTGTAGTTTGTGTGCGCAGGCTACGGTGAGATAACACAGAATGACGACCGTGAAAATCGGAGCGTCCCACCATGCTTACCAGTGTTGCCAATATAAAAAAAAAAAAAAAAAACTTTAAACTAATCTGTGCAAAGGCCTATGGTAGATGGCGCTACTACACCATGTTAAACGTAAATCGCAAAGAATGAAGCTGCGAAACATAATTGGAAATGTAACTTGTTTTAAATAAATAAATAAAATAATAATGTTTTCAAAATGGCAATAGGACGGATGACACTAACTGTGTGCTGCATTTGGCAGTCGTTCTAAAAAGCATCATATATTTTCTTATTTTTCTCTTCATCATCATTATCATCATTTCAGCCATAGGACGTCCACTGCTGAACATATGCCTCCCCTAATGATTTCCACAATGGCCGGTTGGTGGGGGCCTGTATCCAGCGCCTTCCTGCTGTCTTTATATTTTTCTCTTATTTTTCCTAAATTGTCTAAGGCTGTAACTTATAATATATTTTTCGGTTGATCTATGGTGGTCCTCCTCTCTCCTAATTGCCGTGCCCTACAGGGCCCGTAATGTTCTAATTTTAAATACATAACGAATGCAATAAAATATTGGGTATTGAGTATTGTCTGATAATTTCTGAAATTACTCAGCCATTTATGGTCAAACTAATTAGACTAACCTCATGAAATATTAATAAAAATGTTAAAGAAACATTTATCTTTCGTCAAGAAAACATAATTTTCTCTTGAACTTAACACTTAGTAAATATACTAATGAAGAACATAGCTGAGCGGTAAAGCTCTGTGCACACTGCGAAATGAAATAAAGAACTGCGAAAGTTCTAACTTCAGTTGAATTAGGTATCACTTTCCAGCAGCTCGCACTAATCGTTTCGATACTCTTTTATAATTATAAACAGCTAGGGACTGGAATTCGCTGCTTGCTGCTGTCTTTCCCGAAGACTATAATCCGGGCCTTTTCTAGGCGAGAGTAAATAGGCACTTATAGGGCAGATCTCACAACAACATCTTGCGGTCAAATATAAGGAATTGATCTGAATTTTACGACTCTCAACTCCGGCGGTTTTGGCGTCAGTGTGGACGGGCCTTAATTACGTAAAACATCATTAATCACTATTCCCCAATTATTCCCCGCGGGCCGGGGCGTCCGTCACTCCTCTCCTCAAGCGTGAAAATTTAATACGCCCCGAAAACTATGAAATATAGATTAGGCTGTCTCCGCTGAACTTGTCAATAACAAACCCAACGTCTGGTGAATAAATGGTCAGATGATGGTCAGCAAACCGAGCTGCATATTTATTAGGATATCGTCTGAGAATAACATACATAGTTATTGTACAGCGAGGTACCCTGGTCTTCATAATAAGCCACAGCGGCCATCTGGCCAGTTTCACTAGAATGACTGGACGGTAAAATAGGAGGGGATTATCTGAAACTGTGAAAATAGGAGACAAAATTAATACAGTGTGAGTCTTGATAAAGTGCACATATGAAAATAGGTCTAGTTTCACCTATTTTCATATGTGCACTTTATCAAGACTCGCACTGTATTAAAAATAATATGCTCTGCTATTAGTTCTGAAAAACTCACTTGACTAAAATTTTTCTTCAATCAACTAGACTAGTTTGTATTGGAACTTCCTACTTTTTTATATTTTTAAACCGGCAGACAGTGGTGACTGAGTTTGTTGCGGCGCTTCTTCTCAGCACTTGCCAAATGTTTGTCTCGAAGCGCTGGTAGGGCAAAAAAAGAATGAGACATGTATAGGCTCCTTAAGAGCATTAATTTGACGATTTGCAAGTACTAATTTAATTAGTCTAAACAAAAAAAAAAATTTTTGATTTTGATTTTTTACAACGCGTCTGCTTATCTTCATCACCAAGTCTAAGTCAGGAAATGAGCGTTTTCATAAGAGTCCATAAACTCTATGTGTGTTTATTTTATAGTAACACACAACGCGTTTTGAGCTGTTTTTTTCGCTCGATGAGCATTCCCGGTCCCTAAACATAACACATACCTACTCGTATAGATTTAAAATTTGACCTAGACTATACTGATTGTGTGATCGTGTATAAGCCCCCTGGAAAGGGCCTATGTACTGAATATAATGATTGACTTTGAACATGTTCCTTGCAGAGGAGGAGAGCGAGGAGTCGATCTACGCGGGCGCGCTGCGGCACCGGCCCGAGCCGCTCGGTGCGCTCGCGCAGACCACGCGCTTCAGCGAGCACGAGATCAAGCTCATGTACCGCGGCTTCAAGCAGGTACACACACCATCGCCTTAGCGGGGCAAGCGGGTACACACACCATCGCCTTCGGGGCAAGCGGGTACACACACCATCGCCTAGCGGGGCAAGCGGGTACACACGGCACCCCTAGCGTGCCAAGCAGGTACACACACCATCGCCTTCGGGGGTACAAACACCATCGCCTTAGTGGGCCAAGCGGGTACACACACCATCGCCTTAGTGGGGCAAGCGGGTACNAAAAACTTTAAACTAATCTGTGCAAAGGCCTATGGTAGATGGCGCTACTACACCATGTTAAACGTAAATCGCAAAGAATGAAGCTGCGAAACATAATTACATATTAGGTTGTTAGTAAAACGTTCATTATACTGCAGCACTAGGTATTAGTAATAATGAAAAACTGAAAAATAAAATTAACACCGAATTTCCAAAAACTATCAGACATTAATTAAGCCAGCCACATCTTTATTTCCTGATTGTTAGCCTGACTCTATCCTAGAACAGCCTACATTGACCGCCACAATACGACAGACTCGTTTCATTTCCAGCTGCCATGTTTCTGGGAACAGTTCACCCATTAACCATAGTGTACTGCGATTAGTACTAGAATTCATTTCGTATCTTGTTTTCCAATTTGTCTCTGGTGATTGCCTAATTAATTTAATTCATAGGTACATACAATAATATGCACGGAATATTCACTGAAATCTTTGAACCAAGTAAAAACACTCACTGTTCTGTTATACAATTCACTGTTATGTCACTGAATGGATATCATTCATTTTAGCCATTTTAATGTTAAATTGATTGCTTGTAAAAGTCGCTACAAAAACATATTGAATGCTTATTTAATAGAGCGAGGCTTATGTAACGAATCTACTGAAGCTTTTATGAACGAAACGCCTTTTCATCGCTTTATTTAACGTTGACGTGAAAAAGATAAAATTTATGTAACAACTAGCTGACCCGGCGAACTTCGTACCGCCTTAGCGTAGAGATTTTCTTAATATTTTTTTCCGTAAAAACCATTCTTGGACTTCCACAAACATTAAAAAAAAAGAATTATCGAAATCGGTTCAGCCGTTCACACGTGATGCCGTGACAACGCGAAACGGGTTTCATTTTTATATATATAGATAGATAGATACAGCATTAATACAGCTTCATTATAGAATGATTGGGCGTCCAAGTACTTGTACCGATTGCGGCTAACTAGCCTATCGGACGGCCACTTAGGTTCTTCAGACTAGTGTTGTGTAGTGTCGACGAAGTTAAGTATCGATTTTGAGATTAAATTCACTTTTGTCCGTTTTAGGCCATGACTGGTTTTAAGCTCTAAGTCGCCGAGAGCTTTGCTTTTCCAGACACCCCAGTGAAAAACATCCGGCCAATTAGTATTCACTAAAAGTGCTAACTAGTAAAGTCATAGCATGATAAAATCTTAAAAGCAATTTATTTTTTGCAAATAGACTTTTAAGAACGTGTATTTCTCACAAGAAATCTATGAAATCTTTGGTCTAGAGGTCAAGAGTTTAATTATTACATAGAACATAGAGTGAATGCAACTCGTACCTATATGGCGATTTTAAATGTTTGACATCATAGTTAAACCCCACACGAAAACTAAAGGAAGATGATAACAATACATAGAACCACATATTCGCGATTGTTTTGCAAAATTGTAGCAGGAAGAAGACCAAGCATAAAATGCAAGACCCTGCTATGTATCATAAACCAGCAATTGCTATTTAAACTAGGCATTTAGATTTGAAAATCTCCTTCAAGACCCTTCGTGACTTCATCGATACTTNATGGCGCTACTACACCATGTTAAACGTAAATCGCGTCGAATGAAGCTGCTCACATAATATTGATCGAACTTCACTTGTTAAGTTCGTTTGATCTTCAATTAATTAGTTCTGTTTTCGTTGTCTTAACAGCAATGAAAAGAATACAAAATCAGTCATTTTGCAAAACTTCTTTATCACATCTAAGAATGAAAAGTACTACTTAATTCTTTGTCTCCTGATTTTCAGTTAACACTGTACTTCTTATTTCTAGTTACTTTTTGTACTTGTATTAGTTGTGGTTGAGAGCCATCTGTGTTCATCTATTGCCCGGTGAATCTGAGAAAGCCGCTCACGGCTATCAGCACAGTCAGTCCGAAAAAAAACTTTGTATAAATTATTCAATGGTATCCGCGTAAATATTTGATACAAGCCTCATTCCAACATTGTTTCTGTTTATTAAATCCAAATATGGCTTTGCGGTTCTTCCCCAAACTGTTGAGACTGCTAACGAAATAAAGGTTGCCGCCGGCCAGCTCGTGACCGCAGAATAAAAGCTCCGACGACCGATATTAAAACAATTACATACACAATCGTGACCGATGGGGCGGCTAATGGATTTCGACTGTTTCGTAACACTGACTTGGGATTGGGGACGCTGGTTGATGTAACAAAATGTCATATTTGCTGCAAGTCAGTAGTCCTCCAACTTGAAATAATGATAAGGTGTTGCGAATGAGTCGTGCTCATCACTACTTTCGATATCAAACGACGTCTTGCTCATGGTACATCTTAAAATACCCAGTTTTCTGTCCTATCCTTTGTTGTTTTCTTTTGATGATAAATAGGTGAAAATCTTAATTCAGAAAAAAAAACTGAGTAAATTAAAACAGAAGGTCTACCTACTCCAAGCTCACCAAGAAAGTATATAGGTGCCTTTATATTTTAACGATATTTTCGACAGTCGTTATTTTAACGATATTTTCGACGGTGTTATAAGGTTACCAGTCCGTTATTAAATTCATCGTCCTTTTACGAGCTTATTTTTAGTTTGCCTCAAGAAATATTCGTAGCGCCGGCGCATTTATGTCAGCAATCAATGTAAAGCTACCATAGACAGTGGACTAACTGAATAGCTAATCTTTTTCTATTTTTCGATTCATGGTGTAGTGCTTCTGCATCATCTTACTCTGTGTCGATCGGGAAACAACAACATACATAAAGCCACAAACGTAAACCTACCAAACTCGGCCGCATTCCGGAACTATTGTGTTAGTCGATTGTAATATCTGAAAGTGAGGGACCGGGCAGGCTTACATGAGTCAAAGACATATTTGTAAATAGTATACTTATACTTATTAGAACACAAACAGAATAATTAAACTCCTACACTTTTTTTCGATAACTGCTCGCCTTGCTGTCCAGGGACGTTATTTTCTTATCGTATAAGGTGGCCACTAATACAGTCTTATATCCAGCTTACCTTTTCACAGTTTCATTGTGTAAGTTTCTCTCTTGATTTCCCAGTATAAAATATTATCTTAAATTTCGTTGTCAATAACTTGTGCAATTTATCATCATCATCAACCAATATCAGTCCCTGCTGGACATAAGCCTCCCCACACACAAATTGTCTCTATCACTTGTTGTCGCGTCCAGCTTCTGCAGTGAACTTTCACAAGTCGTCACTCCGCCTAGCTAAAGGGCATGATTATCAATCTTACCATTAATTAACCAACTGAAAAATGACGATCATCATCCATGTAAACCCTCCAGCAGCCTAATTACCCGAGCAAGACGGCGATAGTGGCTCACTCTCGGGATTGATTATTACCCCTTGAACTAGCGATATTGGATTGAAACAGATCAATCGCCGCAAGCCGTTTTCACTAAAGCTTTATACGTAGACTGCTTCGAGTTTTATACACAGCGATTTGGTATTATGAGCTTTACACTTGACGACGTGTAGAGACGAATGATCGTCGATATTTAACTTTTCAGAGGAATATTTTGGTGGTGAATTGGTGATGAAAATATACTGTTGTATCACAGGTAAACTAGGAAATTAAGAAATGAAATTAACATAAAGTATTTTATTAGCGGCCTGCGTCCAGCGCTTCCCTGTTACCTTTATGATGTCGTTGGTCTACCTTATGCGTGGACGTCCCACGCTGCGTTTTCCGGTACGCGGCCTCCATTCCATGTGTGCCCTGCCACTTCAGCTCGATCAACATGGAAAGCATTGGGGGATGCCTATGTTCAGCAGTGGACGTCTTATGGCTGAAATGATGATGATGATGATGATTTTATTAGGTTTAAACACCGAAGTTCGTTCGTTTCAGCCAAATGACATCTACTAAACAAGGGCCTCCTTCAAAGATTTATATAACGACCGGTCCTGAGCTGCTCGCATCCACATACTTCCCGCGACCTTCACCAGATCATCAGTCCACTTAGTGGGAGGCCTGCCCACACTACGTCTTCCTGCCCGTGATCGCCACTCGAGAATTTTTCTGCCCCAACGGCCATCAGCTCTACGAACTATGCCCCACCCACATTGATTGATTTAAAAAAAAACATACCCAATTATTTGTTTATTTAAAATCAAAACTCTACTAAGTATAATCTTTCCGTGTAAACCCGCAAGAAACCTTAAGGCTACAGTGTTCAATATTCAACGTGCAGAAGGAGCCTAAAGGCCGGGGCAAGATTCGGACGGTTTATTGGGACCGGCTGATTAATTCGGCCATCTGCAGGATTAACGGTTACAACACTCGCACGTTGAGGTCTTTGCTACCTACCTCTGTCTGAGGTGAATAACTCAATTATTCCACTGTATTGGAACAGATGCTGGTACATAAAATATCCATCGCAAGACATTTCGATTCAGACCCAAAACCTTAATAGGTACGAACTGCTGTTCAGACTTGTCATTTGTTCATACAAATAAAGTAAAATGTTGTGTGCTTTCATCCATGAATGACTCAATTTGCTGCAAGATCTGTATTTTTATATCTTAAAATATAATCTAAAAGTCGGTTAAACAATCAAAATAATTGGACCAATAAAAAGACTAGATATTTAATGATATGCTTAAATGCACAGCCAGACGTTATTCCTACAAATTAGTATCGCATTTTAGGATCTTATAAAGGAAATTGGGGACCATTGGTTCATTTCCATATATTTCTACTGCGAAAGATTTGATGGAACCGAAGATAGGAGGTA